ATAAAAAATAGTAATCAACACTCTCAATAACAAGAAATGTAAAACATTTTTCAAACGTACTTCAATAACTCTGAAAATAATAATAGTTGTTGATGATACAACTTTAATTTATTTAATACTGACCAAACTATTATTTATTCATTCATTTATTTTCCTCGCCACAGCGCAAACTTATTAAGCATACGATTTATGCAACGACACCTGTCCAACTGCTTGTTAGCGCAATTTTCTAATCAGCCAATCACATGCAACTCAATGCATTTAGCTGCGGTCACACCATAGACTTCCGTTTATACGTTAGACTTCCATTCATACGCACGCGAATGTGTCAGACCGGAAACGCAGGGTCATGCGTTACGTTTTGCAGGTTGCTGCTGTGCAAAGTTCAAGCTTGATGAACTCTGACCTGCGAAATCGCATCATTTGACTGCATGAGACCAACCGAGGATCAAAACATGACCTAACTGTAGACCTACTGTAGACCATGACCTAACATGAAGAAATTGCTCGCTTTTTTAATGCCTAATAATCTTGTTTATTCCTGCCCCTTTTTGCAGCACCGCACGACAGAATTTTGCGTTATCAAACTCTAGTGTGACCGCAGCTTTAGACATGTAGACATGGTCAAGACGATCTGCTGTAGTTCAAACAGAGCATCAGAATGGGGAAGAAAGGTGATTGAAGTGACTTTGAGTGTGGCATGGTTGTTGGTGCCAGACGGGCTGGTCTGAGTATTTCAGAAACTGCTGATCTACTGAGAATTTCATGCACAATCATCCCTTCCCTAGTGTTTACAAAGAATTTTTCCAAAAAAGAGAAAATATCCAGTGAGCGGCAGTTCTATGGACGCACAGGCCTTGTTGATGCCAGAGTTTAGAGGAAAATGGCCAGACTGGTTCGAGCTGATAGAAGGCAACAGTAACTCAAATAAGCACTCGTTACAACCGAGGTATGCAGAAGAGCACCCTGAATGCACAACACATCAAAGCTTTAATCGGAGAGGCTACAGCAGCAGAAGACCACACTGGGTGCCACTCCTGTCTGCTATGAACAGGAAACTGAGGCTACAATTCACACAGGCTCATCAGAATTGGACAATAGAATATTGGAAAAACATTGCCTGGTCTGATGAGTCTCAATTTCTGCTGCAATATTCGGATGGTAGGGTCAGAGTTTGGCATCAATAACATGAAAACACTGGATTTATCCTGCCTTGTATTAACAGTTCAGGCTGATGGTGGTGGTGTAATTGTGTGGGGGATATTTTCTTGGCACACTTTGGTACAAAGAAAGTACCAATTGAGCATTGTGTCAACGCCACAACCTACAGAACTTGAGTATTGTTGCTGACCATGTCCATCCATGACCATAGTGTACCCATTTTCTGATGGCTACTTCCAGCAGGATAAGCCACATGTCATAAAGCAAGAATCATCTCAGACTGGTTTCTTTGACATGATAATGCTTTCATTGTACTTAATTGGCCTCCACAGTCACCAGATCCTCAATCGAATAGAGCACATTTGGGATGTGGTGGAAAGGGAGATAAGCCTAATGGATGTGCAGCCAACAAATCTGCAGCAACTACAAGATGCCATCATGTCAATATAGACCAAAATCTCTGAGGAAAATTTCCAGTACCTTGTTAAATCTGTTACCAAGGATTAAGGCAACAGGGGGTCCAACCCAGTACTAGTAAGGTGTACCTAATAAATTGGCCAGTGATTGCATGGATATAGTTTGCTGTTAGTTGTTCATTTGTTTGTCCTTGCTTCTATTACTTAACATTTACCTAGCATCTTTTTTTGCTATTTATTTTAATAAATGATGCTGATCTTATTGCGCTCGACTCAAACCAGTGCATATTATTTATGGGCATTATTTAAAAATTTTTATAATTTTTTAAACTGCAACAACTTTCAGCTTTTCTTTGGTAATAGTGTAGCCATGTAGTCTCTGCAAATGAATATAAACCACTATCAATCCTACATTTTTTTCTAGTAATAAGTGTTTTCCTTAAAACCTTTATTATTTAATGGAAGTTTCAAGTGTTTCATGTTGTCTTTAGTAAATTGCACAAATCAAGTTTAGTTATCTAAAGCATTTGCTTGAGTTAATACATATAATAAATCTAAATCATGAAAAACAACCTATGGAACTATACAGTATGTGGTAATTCAGATGTTCTGCACCTAAACTCAATTTTCCAAAACGTCTGGATGCTTTGTTGGCTGCATTACCTAAAACTTAAAACACAAAAGCATGAAATAGATTTCCAGTTTTCCCCCGAAATGTGTCTTCATTATTATTTTATGCTCTCTGTCAAAGATATTTCATATTCCGGTCATGAGTCTAGGCAATTACTTTTTTTAATATTTAATTTAGTCAGTGTAGCACAGACAGAGTGGAATTGTATGCGTGCACGTTTGGTGTTGTTTGAAACAGTTTTTGATGGAATACATTATTAATATTTTGAAATGGATAAATAATTCTGCCTGGAATTGTTGATGTGGAGCCTCGTCGGTTTGGGTGAGCATGTTTATATGGGACAAATGTGTGTCATTGTCTCGGAGGAGCTCAAAGCAATCAGTGCTGTTGACTTGCGGTGCAGCTCTGCATTCTGACGAGGAGACCAACTCCTAGAAAGTGGACACAAGTTCACTTCTGTGACCCCCTTTACACCTGCTGTAAGGAAACGTTGGATGAGGTAGACACATCTACATTTGGTGCTTTAGTTTGTTTCTTTTGTTTTTGTTTTCTTTTTGGCATATTCCTGCCTTCTTTGAGGAAAGGAACTATATGTAGATTTGTCTTGTTTATTTTTGGACTTTTTTGTGATTTCTGTTTTTTGTGTTTTTTTGTTTTTACGTTGCAAATTAAAGGGCACCTATGATGAAAATCAACATTTGTACGCTGTTTGGACAGAACTGTGTTTATGTATACAGTGCATCTGAAAAGTATTCATAGCGCTTCACTTTTTCCCACACTTTTTTATGTTACTGCCAGGGCCTAATTTTTGCTGGAACAAGCCAGATCCATATCCGGCACCTCTGATATCTGATCCGGCACCTCATTTTACCAATTCCACTCCTCATATGCACCCCCTTCTTCTGCGACTCCCCAACCCTCTTAACTTTCATCCGTGATACCTCTCCCTCCTCTGGTAAAATGCCGAATCCGTTAGCCCAATCTGTTCCAGGACCTCGCAATTGACAGATTAAGTATGTTACAGCCAAAATTTATAAAATTAATTTATTTCCTCAAAATTCTACACACAATACCCCATAATGACAGTGTGAAAAAAAATATTTTTTTTAATTATTGCTAATTTATTAAAAATAAAAAAAACCTGGAAAATCACATGTACATAAGTATTCGTAACCTTTGCCGTGAAGCTATAAAATGGAGCTCAGGTACATTCTGTTTCCACTTGTCATTTTTGAGATGTTTCAGCAGCTTAATCGCAAGTTTAGCTTAATGCTGAGTTCCAGCATTCTTCTTTGGAGAGAGGAGAACCTTACAGAAGGAAAACCATCTGTGCAGCAATCCACCAATAAGGCGTTTATGGTACAGGGGCCAGACGGAAGCCACTCTCCACCAGGAGTTTCTCAAAAGGCATCTGAAGAACTCTATAAGAAACAAAATTCTCTGCTGTGATGAGACTAAAATTTAACTCTTTGGAGTGAATGCTGCTTGGAGAAAACCAGGCACCGCTCATCACCAGGCTAAAGACTGGTTTATACTTCTGCGTCGAGTGATCGAAGTGAGCGACGGTGCATGACTTGCATGTTGCCGTGCATTTATACTTGGGTGCACTGTTTCTGTTATTTTGCTATAACACTGATATGCTAACTGGTAGTAGGTGTTTATGTTCCTCTGTGTCGAGTTTCTTCGCTGATGATTTGTTTTTTCTGAACGGTACAATGGCTCAAATTCACTCATTTTGAGGCTGGAATCTACGAATATGCATAAGGTAAACACAAAACAACATTCTCCACCTGGAGCTGCTTAACGGGACTCCACCCTTGTAAACACTCGCTGCATCGGGCCCGCGCTGCTCTCGCCTTCACCCACAGTCATCAACGATACCAAGACGACCAATTACTGAGCTTGTGCTACACTTAATTGTGACATGTAGTTTAATTTTTTGAGAGATGCGCCTCAGCGTCGCTGATGGCCACGGCAAGGGCTATGCGTCCATAGGCTGCACCGTAGCATATGCGTGCGCAAAACATGCGAGTTACATTAATTATAGGGTACCATCAACTTGGTAAATTATGCTAGTAGTATGTTAACATGCTCCATGTTATAAATGTGTTTTTTTTTTCTCATTAAGCTAGACACATTTTAGCATTGTTAAATGTTGTTTAATGTAAACAGTATGATAATTTATGTATAGTATTGAAAGCCTGTTGGAAATGTGTAAATCATGCTAAATGTTAGCCATGTGCTAAAGCATATTAGAGACCTGTTGGAAACATGTATTATTGCTAAACGTGTAAAATGTTAGAAATATAACTTGTTTCTGCTAATGTTAACTTGATACATTATTCTAGCATAGTTTAAAATGTATTAGAAATGTACTAAATATGCTAAAATGTTAGTCATATGCTATAAAGCACATTATACTGTGTGTTGGCAACATGTAATTATTTGCTAACAATGTGTTAAAAGGTTGTATATAATTTGTTTCTGCTAATTTCAGCATGAAAATTCATTCTAGCATAGTTTAAAACATGTTGGAAATATAGTAAATATGCTAAAATGTTAGTCAATCAAGCACATATGTTAGCAACATGTTAATTCTTTGCTAACAATGCGTTAAAAGGTTAGAAATATAACTTGTTTCTGCTAATGTTAACATGATAAATAATTCTAGCATACCATGTCAGAACTGTACTAAAGATGCTAAAATGTTTATTTAGCATTCATTACTTATGTTCTGTATCTTCTATTTGCTTCTATTTGAATCTTCTATTTCCTTAACCAGTCTTCTCCAGATATAAAATCAAGCTGGACTCTGATGAGATCCAATATGGAGGCCATGGCAGACTGGATCACAATACTGAGTTCTTCACTGAGGCAATGGGACTTAACAATCGGCCAAACTCTATGATGGTATGTACATAATAGCTGTTATTATATCATAACTCCATAGCACCATTTCTAGCTGTTTTCTAGATTTATTTTCTGATTGTGGAATGTCCAAATGTGTTTAGATAAAAGAAGCAAAATGTAAAAACAAGTGCACAGCAGAAGTAGAATTTCAAAACTAATGTTCCTAAACCCACCTCTTAATTATATAATTACAAATGTGAACAGATTCAATTAAAACAAGCGTTTCTCATTGCCCAAGTGATTAAAAACGAGTAAACAAATTCTTATTTAATTACTTGAGTAAACGTGGTGCAATCAAATACAGATTAAAGAAAAGCATTACAAGTGCTAGATCAAATTAATAGAACAAAGATGCAAATGAAAAAGAGTGGCGTTCAGGTCTCTAACAGCAGCACAATATCAGGAACCCAAGTAAACATCCAGGAATTAAATGTAAAACAATCCTGCTTAAATAACTATTATAATCATGTAATTTTCACAACATGATACAATAAATGAATAATGATCAAATGCAGCTGGGGATTGAAAATATATCATAAAATTAGCCATATAGTTTCCATTTTTCCAGTTCTTTGATTAATATGAATGCCATAACAGAGATTTATAGAACTTAAAGAATTAAAAAAAAAAAATCTGAGAACTCAATGTGATATATGTAATTATACAATTAAATAATATTGAATTAACATAACAATTCAAGGACATTTTAAAGAAGCCAAAACCTGTCATGAACATGCATAATAATTCTGCAAAGTGATGTTAGAAAAGCAAGCAACATGTTCATGTACGGTATGTTAGAAAGTTATATAGAATGTTTATAGAATGAAACAGGCTAGCAATGTGCTAGAAGCTCTACATGCTAATGGGGGAAAATACAACAATAAAAAGAGGAACAACACTTACTGCTCTTCCAAAAAAAAGCTGTGACTTAAAGAATGGTGTCCTTATTCTGTATGTTGTTTTGATGTCTCTGTTTATCTTACCTTCAACATCAATATACTGATGACAGTGCACTTTGAAAGTTATTTTTTTTTGCTGTGGGTGATATAAGTATTCAACACTTCACCATTTTTCTCAGAAAACATATTTCTTAAGGTGCAGTTGACTTGAAATTTTTACTATGTTGTTAACAACCAATGAAATACATATATAAAAAGGAAATGAATGTAATTAGTTTACAAATTAAGTTATTGATAATAAAATTAAATGACACAGGAAAAAGTATTAAACACATGAAGAAAGGGAGGTGTAGAAAAGAAGTGAAAACCCAGACCCTTTATTAATCTTGGGTCACCACAGTGGAACAAACCACCAACTTTTCCAGCACATGTTTTTGGTTGCCCTTCCAGCTGCAACCCATCACTGGGAAACACTCATACACTCTCATTCACACGCATATACTATGGGCAATTTTAGCATACCCAATTCACTTGTTCACATGTCTTTGGGCTTGTGGGGGAAACTGGAGCACCTGGAGAAAACCCACATGATCACGGGGAGAACATGCAAACTCCACACAAAAATGCCAACCAACCCAGCCGAGGCTCGAACCAGCGGTCTTCTCCCTTACTCTGAGGGCTCTATTTTGACGGTCCATGCGCAGAGCGCAAAGCGCAGGGCACACACGCTTTCAGGGCGTGTCAGTCCGCATTTTTGCTAACTTAAGGACGGGAAAATCCGCTTTGCGCCATGGCGCATGGTCTAAAATGGTTGAGTTTATTGTCTTAATGAGTTATAGGTGTGTTTTTAGAATAAACCAGAGTCTCATCTTCCATTACCTTTAAGAGCCAGCTGCGTCGCGCCATAAGCTCATTCCTAATAACATGGTGTAAAGTAAGTTCACTTTCGCTTTTGCTCTCGTGGATGGGGAAACCTTACTGCACAGACATCAATTAGCCTATAAATAATTCATTTTGTTTGTTAAGCGCAAAGATTTGTTTCAAAACTATTTCTAAATTCAGTTCTAATTTCCAGCAAATGAATAAATGATTAATAATAACATAGTGTGGTCAAAATACTGAGTTATTTCCAAATAAACCTGCTATGCCCCATATGGTCTAAAACCTGACAGGTGGACAAATCTAAGCTTGTTTATAATAAAACAAATATAAATATGGATATAATAAATAATACTGCTAATAATAATATCATTATACAAAAGCAAATTGAATGAACTGAAAAGGCCTCCCGATTTGAAGAAAATAATGCAGTGGTTTTTAAATTCATGTAGACTAGAAATTTATGTTTTTTAATATTTTAATATATATATATATATATATATATATATATATATCCTTTATTATATCCTATATATATCCTTAATATATTATATCTTTTTCATTTGTAAAGATATTTGCGTATTGCATCTTGTGTGTAGTGTGTAAGCCAGGCGCACTTTGCGCCAGACAATAGACCGATTTTGTTCTGGTCTAAAGAACAGACTATTTACAGTTTCTCAAAATAGCACCGCGCCAAAACACCCCTGCTTTTTTTAGACCAGAATGCCTATGGGCGCACATTTGAGCGCAAATGCATTTGCTATTTAAACAGTGTGGCGCAATGCCTCAAAATGACCCTTGCGCCAAGCATAAAGTAGTAAAAGACTATTGCGCTGCGCCTTGCGCCACATTGCGCCGGGTGTATGATAGGGCCCTGAGGCTTTAAAAATATTTGATTCATTACAAAACAATATTTAATAGAAAACAGCTCAAAGAAAGAGGGTTTTTTTATTATATATTTTTTTCTGATGACAAAAATAGAGCTTTGTTTCATAACCCTAGCATTAAATGAATTGCATTTTATTTAAAGAAAATTAAAACATAAACACTTCTTTTATTTCAGCAAGCTGCCAAATCAACATTTCTCTATTTCAGAAGTTGCTATAACCATTTAGTTTATTCAATTTACCTATAGTGCATGTATTTGGACTGGGAGAAACCAAAGCACCTGGAGGAAACCCACGCTGACATGGGGAGAACATGCAAACTCCACACAGAAATACTAAGTGACCCAGCCGGGACTTAAACCAGAGACCTTCTTGCTGTGAAGCAACAATGTTAATCACTGAGCCATCATGACGCCCCTGAGAAGAATATGTTTAGACATAATAAAAATAAATTAAACAAAAATAACAATGTATATATAAATATTATCTTCTCCAAGTCTCACTGTAGCTAAATCAATAAAACAGTGTCAGTGTTGTCCTGCACTAGTCTCTGGTTCCTCACACTAGCAATGCTCATGTGAGATCTCATACAGTAGTAGATGCAGAGATACAGTAACACACATCTATTAAAGCTACATTATTTATTAACCATATTATTTAAGAGCTCGAGGAGATCTCAAGGCCTTTGACAGAAAATAGCAGTGAAACTCTGAGCTAAATACATAATTCACAAAAAAAGAACTGTGATGATTTAATCATTCCTGTGCTTTGATATTCACAGTGTCAGTGAGATTTACTTCTGAGGGAAATCTGCTTGTTTTTATGTACTGCACTGAGTATTGAAAAATGGCTTTTCTTAAAAACCTTTTCACTGCGTATGAATATGAATGCATTACTGGTTTATTAGACAAATGTTTGCGGTTGAGAAAGTTAAATGGATTTGACCTGGACTATATGAAACTGATAGCAGTACATTAGCCTGATGATTTATTGATTCATTTAATGCACATCCAAATATCTGCATTAGATTTTATATACAGTTCAAATGAAAATGATTAGCCATATTTAAATATTTCTCAACTGATTTATAAGAATAATAGTTTTAATAACTATTTTCTAATAATGAATTTGGTACCAGTCGAGGCAGTGGTGCAGTAGGTAGTGCTGACAGCTCACAGCAAGAAGGTCGCTGGGTCACTGGTTCGAACCTCGACTCAGTTGCCGTTTCTATGTGGGGTTTGCATGTTCTCCCTGCCACGTGGGTTTCCTCCGGGTGCTCCGGTTTCCCCCACAGTCCAAAAACATGCCGTATAGGTGAATTGGGTAGGCTAAAATTTTCTGTAGTGTATGAGTGTGTGTGTGTGTGTAGATGTTTCCCAGAGATGGGTTGCGGCTGGAAGGGCATCCGCTGCGTAAAAACTTGCTGGATAAGTTGGCGGTTCATTCCGCTGTGGCGACCCCGGATTAATAAAGGGACTAAGCCGACAAGAAAATGAATAAATGAATGAATGAATGAATGAATTTGGTAACACTTAATTTAAATAATAGTATACTGGCTTATTTCCTGCTGTTCTATAGCACTTATAAAGTATGATCTTATTCTCTAAGCTTACCCAATACCTAAACCCAACTACCAATGAGGGGAAAAATACATTGAAATTTGTTTTTCAAATAAAATTCCAAATACGTCAATTTCAATTGTATCAAAATAAACTACAATAAACAGCAGCCACAAATGTATCAATATAAAGTACTGTATTTTTGTATTTTAAAACTACTACAAAATACTTTTCAAAATGGAGCATGAATTTAGGCCTATTTGATCAATCCATTTACCATTAAACTGACTTAAGGAAGTACACAATGTTGGATAGCAGCATTTGTTTTTTTTGTTTTATTTTGCTGAAACCTCCTTTACCTATAGGGGGCAGTTGTGGCCTAATGGTTAGTGGGATTTACTTGTAACCCTTATTTGTTTTTCATATATTGTGACATTTTCACATCATTAGGCGTACAGTACATCTATTACCTTCATTAACTAAACAGTGTACCTGCAGATCAGCTATACTGGCTTTTTGAAGTGTAGTCCTTCTCCAAAGATTTTTTTTTTTTCAGTTCTTCTGGAAGAGTCTTGGTTACCCTCTTAAACAAATACCAGTACACCATATTTAGATTTTTTATGTTTCTAAATATCCACCTGCAGCACTGAGAATGAGACTAATAATGTTCTGAAGGCTCCAAATCTTATTCTTCAGGACTGAGATTTTATTTTATCTAATTTCTTAAGCAAATATGCTAATTTGCACACTATACTACCATTATATATTTATAACAC